GGGGATATCGGTGGATGTATCGCACGGCGAGGCCTGCTATCGACATGTCGACGATGCCAGGCCGGGGCTGTATATTCCACGATATAGGAAACTATCCTAGCCGCGATCATGATACGCGAAAATACCATCTGTCATTCGGGGGTGCGTGCCAGACCCCGATCCAATGGCCGACCACCACCCACTTCTCTCTTTCCACCACGATTTTCACTCCGTGCCGTTTGCCTCCCCTTCGTTCTCCCTCTCTTTACTTTTTTTTCCCCCCTCCTTATCCTTCTTACTCTTCTTAGTCTTAGTTTCTTAGTTTTCCTTCTCGATGGGAGGAGAAGAGAATAATTTCTCTCCCATTTACGAATTATTTATTATTAAGAATAAATAGTTAGTTTAGGGATTGATAGAGAGTAGAAAGCTTAGCTTAGCTTAGTCAGCCGATTGTTAAAATTACCGAAAATGTTTCCTTCAATCACGTGATCGTAAAAGTCGCCCAGTTGATCCAGGGCTCAGAAACAGTGGCGGGTCTCGAAACAATTGGCGTAAACGACGCGTACGAGGGGGGGTATTGAAACTAGTTGGCGACGTTCTCGTGAATAATCTCCGTGGCCCGTAGTCGAATTCATTTTCCAATTAAGAGGCTACAGGGATTCGCATTTGACTCTCTCGTGGATCGATCGTGGTGCCGTTAAATTGAGGTCGTCGGAGGGAATCGCCGTCGAAAAAACGCGATTAAGCGTGACTAACGATAGCTCGAAAGTCGCGGCGCAATGTGTCGAACAATGTGTACTTATCGCGTCCACCAATGTTCCCTCGAGATCGAACCATCATTTTTTATGATCGCGCATCCCGCCATTCTTTCACTCCTCGCCTCCGTGAAATCGTATCAGTCGCCTTTAAAACCTATCGAACTCGAAATTAATAATTCACGGTCCCTCGCTTTATTAAAACTTTTCTCCGTTCTATTCGCGGAATAAATTCATCATTTTCGACGTTAGCTCTAGCCGACGTTAGTTACCCTTAATTCGGGAAACAAAATTTCAATCGCTCGCCCATTAGAAAAGAATGGAAGAAGGGATAGGTTGGGACAGAATCGAAAGAATTTAAAGCGCATTAAGAAGAAGTTGGGCCCCGTTGGAGCTGTGGCGGGGGGTTGAAAAGGGGTTGAAAGTCGATCGGTAAAATTTCTCTCGATGCGCGTCTACGCGTCTGGTGTCGTAGTTCTGCCTGTGTACGTTTTAACCCCCATTAGTGACCCCCCAACCTCTGGAGGACGACTGTGGTGGTGGAGGGCCAGGACTCCGTTACACGAACAACTTAATGTTATGTAAAAATAGCTGAGGGGGAGGGATCGCAGACACACCGGCTCTCCGTGTATATTAATGCGGGTCGAAAGAAGAGCGAGAACGTGGCGAGGAAAAGCGTGGCAGACGAGAGCCAGTCGAACCTCGAGCAGATGCTCACCGTTGGAATATCTAAATAAATCCGCGTGTCGGCCACCCTTAAAATCCTTGAGTCGAATAAGTAATAACGTTCACCGACCGCGGGTTAGATTTCTCCCTTTTCCGTATTCCACCTTGCCCTTGCCTGCATAAGCGAGCGCGTCCGATTTCGGGACTTTAATTGGCCCGGGGGAATTTCGCTGCGTGGACTTACTTTACGAGCAAACTTTCCGAGATATTTCGTGCCTCTGGAGACGAGAGAACGCGTACTTTTTTTTTTTTTTCTCCTTCTTCTTCTCCTTCCTCTTCTTTCCCCTCTTCTCCATCGGGAGACAGGAGCCGAAGGGAGAAAAGGCGAAAAGGTACGAGTAATCGCAATGGCGGAGGTCGTCCCTTTCCTTTTTCTTCGCGAGATTTAATCAGTTCCGCCGTCGGGATAGGGACGTCGATCTAGGACCGGATTATGAAATCTTTGGAACAATGCGATAGTTCTCTAGCTCTTTGAAAGAGTTACGAAAATAATCGATCTTCTACTCTCTTTTCGCGTTTCAATTTTTCTCTCCCTTTTGCTTCGATCTTTACCGATACGAATATATCGAATTACTCGAGGATAGATAATTTAAATTTTTCGCGTAGAATATTTCTTCGCGTGTATAAATAATATGTCGTAAGATCGTTTCACATGGTAAAATTTGGGAATGGGTTATATCGATAAATCGCATCAGTTCTTGGAGGGCAATTAGCAGATAGTAATCGCGCGGGGGTTTAAGCAGTTTTCGTGCATTAGATTAGTATTAGAGGGGAGGGGAGGAGGTTGTAGGCGTGTGCAAACATACGAGAGGCCGTCGAGTTGGTCGCAACGACAGGACGATTTACGAGGTTTCACAGGCTCGCCTGTCGGCCAGATAGAGCGAATGTGTCAATTACGATAAAGCTCATCGGCGATCGATGTATCTGATGAAATTATTTAGACGCCCGCTGTCAAGCAACGACGCGAACCTATCCCGGTTCACCGCGATATTACGCAGCCTCGCACTATTGTATCGCAAATACAATTACTCCACCTATAAATGTCCATTGGTGAACTACTGGTTATTGCTTTATTTATATATATATATACGCGCGTGATAATGAAACGAAACGAAATCGAGAGAGAGAGAGCAAAAGGTTTGTAAAGTAAGAAGCTTTAGCTGAATAAAAGAATATTGAACGAGGCGTGTTTCTATAAAATTTATTCTAAATATTATTGGATATAAATTTAAAGTTGGTTACTATTGTTAAGGCTATCAGCATCACTGTAATTGCGATGAGTTATTTTTACCTTGATTGATTCTTTTTCCCTTTGCGTAGTCCTCTCGCCTCTCTCTCGAATTAAAATATAACTTTTTTCGATTTACGACGAAACTCGTTATATCATTGCGACACACTCGGTTTAATTCTCCATTTAATTGCATAATCCCTTGCAACGTTATCTTCTCTTTCTCGAGTTTGTCTTTCCAACTTTGCGTTCCTCTTTAACGCTTTCACTTTATCTTGCAATTTATCGCGGGGGTGGTTGATCGCTCGGTGAACTTGTCAATTTCTTTTCTTCCCCGCCCGCCACTTCTTCTCCTCCACGCCCTACTTTTTTCTCGCTTCTCGCCTCTCGCCTCTCACTCATCCGCATAAACATTTATCTTCTTTTCGAGCATCCTCAGTTTGTCCTCGTTTGATAAATTGTCTCTCTCGTTTCGACTATTCGTCGTGTAATTTGTAGAGTTGTAATTTTCGTGTTGCCTCTTGAATGTATCGTACTTCTTCTTGTCGATTTCGGTCAATTTTTCGAATAACTCCTTGTCCTTCAACGATTTCCTCATATCCTCGCCGAAAGCAACCTCCTCCAATTGTTGCTCGTTCTCTTGCTTCCAAGCTAGTCGTTTATTGAGCAGTAGTATTTCGTCTTCCACTTGATTTTTGCCCGTTATCGGTTCCTCCTCCTCCATCAGATCTGATTTGCCAAAAGGGGAAAAATTACGCGACAAATAGACAACCAGACAAGAAATATAATCACCTCTGTTCTCCGTCTTAAACTTGTCTTGTTCTTGGGACTGGATTTTCGCGAGAGACACGTTTTCTTCGATATTTCCTTTCTGATTCGCGCTCCTGTCCCTTTTCAAATCGGTCGTCATCTCTTTTTCCCAAGACCCAGCACTGTACTTGTATAAAAATACAATCACAATAATACACACTTGGACCCTATCGTCGATTCTCGACTCGAATCAAATGTTGCGTTATCGCATACTTTTTACCACCATTATCATCCCCCAAACTTTTCTTTTTCTTGGGCGTACCGCCACCCTTCCCACTCGATTCCACGTTCGCCGTGTCCATAGAATCGTAAATTAAAGGTTCCTCGTACTCTGAATCGAGAGGATCCCAAAAGGCATTGTCCGCATATTCACGTTTTTGACGCAGTGTCGCAGCATTATGCACACTGTCCTTATGCCGTGACTGATCAATACCACTTGCATCTTTGTGATGCTTACCATGCTTCCCTTTGCGCTTTCTACGATTTCTTTGCATCTTGTTATTATTATGCTTTTGTTGCTTGTTCGCGCTTCTGATTATCCTTTTCCCTTTATAAGAAACTCCAATGTCGTCTGAAACGTACGGGAAATCTATATAGATATATATATATATATATATCGCGATCGATCGTAACGCGTTTATCGAGTCGCGTTATTTAAATAATTTTTTTTTCAAGTTTGTTGCGAGTGAGTTTGCGTTTACTGTCTCGAAGAAGATCCTGATTAGCGAAGAAGTCTGCGCTGTTCAGTTTCAAGATGTTGGGCAAATTTATGTGCAAAAGACCATCCGACACGGTGAAATTACTCTCGCTTATGTTGGCCATTCCATTCTCTCCGTTCGGTTTTTCCTTCTTCTCGGTCTCCTCCTTCAATTCGATGTACTCGAGCAACAAATCTAGCTGTTTCTCCTGGAAACAATGGGACGAGGAAAACGAAAATGGAGAAAATTTCGCGGAAATCGCGGTAACGGATAATTAGCTCATCAGATCAAAATCAATGTTAACCAGATATTCGTGAATCGCCTCGACTTTCTCCTGTTCCTTTTCCGACAAAGAACCGTACTCCTTTATGAGATTACGTATCACCGTGATCTTTACGTATAATTCGGTGATCTCAGTCTCTATCCGTTGACTCGGAAAACTCTGGAATAGGTATTTGTCCCGTGGAAAATGTTCCTGCGAATCTCCTTTTATAAACGGTAACGTCGGTGGTAGCTGGAACGAAAATTCCAACGTGTGCGTCCAATTTCTTCCCCCCTCCCGATTGCTCGATTATCAATAACAATATCCCGGGATTACTTGTTGCAACGATGTCGTTTGCGAATTCAATTCTAACATCCAGTCCAAAAACTCCATCAAATCTGGCGGCAGGGAAATGCATGTCTTTTTCTGCACCTCCTCGAAAATGAGTTGATTCAGAAGCGATACGATCTTGTTCATTATCTCGTCCATCTCCTTGAATACGAAAACGAAACGTTCAAAGCATTTTTACGTACTCAACCACGCTAGATGCTAGATGTTAGATTATTATATAAATTGAAAAAACGCACTTTATCGTTGCTAAAAGTTTGATGACATTTCTCAGCTGTCACGGTATCTCTAACCTTGTGCTTGTAGTAAAGACCTGGGCCCAACGATACCTTCAGATCTTTATTTTTCTGCACCTGATGATTTCGAAACGACAGAAATATAAGGAATCGCGGTGAGATAGAATTATCCAAGAGAGAGAGAGAGAGAGAGAGAGAGAGAGAGAGAGAGAGAGAGAGGGAGGGAGAGAGGGAGGGAGGGAGAAATGAAAAGAAGAAAGAAATACCTGATCGAAAATTTGTTCCACGATCTTTCCTGCGAGTTCACCATGAACAGCCAAATCCATCTGCGATTCATCTTCCATATTATCGGCTACCAAAAACGTGTTGATTTTTCTTCTCTGGATATCGTTGATCGAGTTCATCGTCTGAAATATTATCGTCGAACCTTTCTTTTTAATTAAATTATAAATCATATTTTATCGGATTTCATATAGATTGAGAAAATGAGCGCTTAAATACGTACATTCTTCCTTCCTTTACCATGATGCCTTTTCCTCTGATCATGATATTTATCGTCCTCGCTCTGATCAATCTTTATTTTCTTAATGTTATGACGATTCTTCATGCTCTTTTTCCGCTTTTTCTCACGATCTTTTATCTTGGGCTGCTTTTTGTGATGCCTCCGTTTCCTACGAGTTTTCTTGCTAGGTTTGCTCTTGCGAATTTTCTTTCTCTTCTTCTTCAATTTGTTGTTATTCTTGTTGTTGTTATTGTGCTTCTTCTTGGCGTGTTTCTTCTTCTTCGCGGGATCCTTGTTCCTAGATATTCTGTTATAATCGTCCGCTACATCCTTGCCCAACTCGAAATCCTTCATGTTCGACAGCTTGTTGCCGGGTATATTCTCGTACGGGTTCAACGGTTGGAAATGATCGTTTTCCTCGTTTTTCATATACCGATTGTAATACATCATCTCGGAATCGGGATTCACTCGTTGATTCACCTCGTCGTAATACGCGTCGTAAGGAAGGGAGACCTGCCTCTTTACCCTACCTTCGTCCTTGAACAATTTCTCCACGTCCAGGGGCGACGACGCGACGAGAGCGAATCCCTGATCCATTGATCTCGTGCTCTTATCCTCGATCGGGCCCGCGATCCTCGCGCTGGAACCATTGGCCGATCTCTCCGTGGAACTAGATCCAACGTAAGACGCGACTATCCCCGAATTTTCCACGCTTTTCAAACTTCTGCCGAGCCTCACCCTTATGTCCTTGTCGGAATCGTCGACCAGTTCAAGGGGCTCGACGAACGACTCGTGCAAATCTCTCGAGCTAATTATCATCTGTTTCTCGCGATCTATAATATTTTGTACGCGTTTCTCCCTATCGTGATTACGTGGGGATCGTAATCTCGCATATTTCTCGTATTCGTAACGAGGGAATTGATCTGTATCTACGTATCGCCGCCTCTGATCCCTTGTTAACGATCGACTCGCGACATCTTTCTCCGCGTTGTCTCCGCTCACCTGTGCGCGATTCAAGAGGTTTATAGATTCGAAAGAAAAATAATAAGATAAAGTCGAGAGGATGGGAGGGTAGGGGGAGATAGGATACATTATGGAGTATGGATATATATATATATATATGTATATATATATATATACGTATGTATATGTATATATATATACATATACATATACAAATGCGATAATTTAATTTCGGAAATATATATTCGGTTGGATTTTACTCGTTTTTTTTTTTCTTTTTTTCTTTTTTCTTTTACCTTTTGCGTTTTCCACTCAACAACTTTACCGATAACACCAAGTCCTTGTAATTTTTCGTCGGTGCTGTTAAGGCTTTGCTCCGGCCCACCTTTAAACATATCGTCCGTGCTTTTAAGAGCTAAATAATTACTTTGGGAAACGTTGTTCCTCGCAATGGGCTCGCCAGATGATACGACCGGTGAATTATTCTCACCAATTTTAGATTTTTCTGATCCATCGTAAACGAATAGGGAAATAGGGAGGAATAGATTGGGGCTAGAAGCTGTACGGCAAAATTGATCATGGTCGGTGATCGTGGTTGGGAAAACGAAGGAGGTTTCAAAACGAAATTGATTCATTCAACGTTTTTTTTTTTTTTTTCNTTTTTTTTTTTTTTTTTTTTTTTTTTTACCATACGTTCCAGATGAATCGGCGTGGATCTCCGGCGATTCCAATTGATCTTTCTGTTCGACCACGGTCGGATCTAGTTTATCGTTGTTCTCGTAGTACATTCTCTGATCACCCTTGATTCGAGGCTTATTCTTGTTCTCCTCCTCGTTCCAATCGTATATCTTTTTCAACTCTTCGTACAATGGTTCCATGCTGTTAGGTATCTTTTCTTTTCTGCTCGGACAGATATTTGGGTGATACGATCGGTGAGACGAGAACGCGACGGTTTAACAGTTCAACGGGAAACATAGCGTAGCATAGGATAGCAATGCAGAGAGAAATATGTCATACTTTTCGTCCAAAGATTGGATATCCTCGAATATATCATCTATTATCCCGACGTCTAGATTTTTATCCATCTTGAGAATATATTTGGCAGGATCTAGTACCATCTCGTTCATTTCGTTATCTAGAAACGTTTCCTCGTTCTCCTCGACCGGCTCTTTTAACCTGTTAATACACTAGGATCAGTCGGTGTCCCCGGTATCTCTCCCGGAATGTACGTGTGTAATAACCACTAATACAACGATCACGTAGGTCAGTGTCATCCGTTTGATGTGATTTTTTTTTTTTTTTTTTTTTTTTTTTTTTTTTTTTTTTNTTTTTATTTTTTTTTTACCATTTCGTTTTGCGTGAAATTTACCACTGACCTCTCGCGACTAATGGTGTTCACGTTGCCTTCACCTTGATCCCGCTTGTTGCCCGCCGGACGATCCTTCCTCATCCGCAAATTTAACTTTGGTCGATAATATCGATGCGCTATTCTTCTTAGTTATATTTTTTCCACTTGGACTCAGGAATTGCTCTGTCGGTTTCTTCTTCCTTTCCTGCTCCCGTTCCTTTTTTTCCATTTCTATTTCATGCAAGTCCACTTTCTTGTCCGTTTTGGGTGGTACACACTCTTTCTCCTCCTCGTATTCCACTACGATTGAAAACAGATATGAGTTCTCGTACGTGTTCACCTAACCTGGAGGCAACGAACGGGAGGGAGGTGAACTTGAACAGGTTGCGATACAAAATTTGACGAAACTTTACTACGCAAGATTTTTAGCAGTTTTTTTCACGTTAGGTTTTCGAGGATGGAGAAGTGCACGCATCATTACCAAGTCCCGCATCAAATTCTATAGGGTTTTTGTCTTGATAATTATTTTTCACTCGTTCTTGTTCGTTGGACGGTGACAATTCGTCGTTCTCTTGATCCATATCGTTATCGTATTCGTAATACTCGATTACGTTCGGATTACGCCTTTTCCTAGTCTTCTCTTTCTTTTTTTTGCTCATCTTGCTTTTTATCATCACATTTACTTTCGCTTTCTTTTTATCGCTGACCGCCCTTTCTTTCCTGCGCGCCGATACGTCGCTTTTTTCTGGAAAAAAAGAACGGAAGAAGGAAGAAAAAAGATAATCGTCGCACCTCTTTACACTCTCTCTCTCTCTCTCTCTCTCTCTCTCTCTCTCTCTCTCTCTCTCTCTCTCTCTCTCCCCCCTCTTACCTGCATTGACCGATTGTCGCTGATTCTCCTCCTCCTCCCTGTCGTTGTAATTCAAATCAGCCTCCTCCACTTCGTCGTTGGAATATTCCATGTATTGAAGGATCTTCCTCTGCCCGTATCTGTCGCTCGTCATTTGATCGTTCAACTCATTCCCGGCCACGAATCCCCCCCCCTGATATTTCTTTTTCCGTTTCCTCTCGCCGTCGACCTCGTTCGTCGCCGATTTCTCTTTGCCGCCAACCTCCGACTCCTGGCTCTTGCTCCCTATCAAATTCAACTCCTTCTCCTTGCCAACGTTCCCGCGGTTTTTCCCGTCCACCAAATTATTATTATTATTATTATTGTCCGCGTTGTCGTTGGAACACTCCTCCTCGTTCTTAAATTTCCCCCCCTTTCCCCCGTCCACGTTCCCGTTACGCTTCTCTACGGCTATATTCGCTTGGTTCGCGTTCGCGTCCACTCGTTCACGATCCGCGGCCTCGAACCAATTTCGAATTCCCTCCTCGTTCATCGCGCTTTGTCCCGATTGTCTTTTGTCGAACTCCCTCGCCGAGTTCTTAAGCCGTTTCTCATCCACGTTCCTCTCCATGATGTCGGAGGGTAGCGCGAGGCCGGCCGTGCCGTCTTCGTACGGCACTTCCTTAACTTTATTCTTCTCGAATTCGAGAACTCCATTAGTAATCGGGATCTCCACCTCTTTCTCGTTCCCCCCCCTTTTCGCGCAATCTTTCACGGCGGCTGTATCCACCTCGGCCTTGGCCAGCTTCATGTTGAAAATGGTGGAAATCGATTTCCCCGGTTTGTCCTCCTTCTCGAGCAACGTCTTCTTCACGTTGAACATGTCCAACATGAACGGTGCCTGACGCTTCCCCTCCTTCATGTTCTCGTTGCTGTACTGGATCAAATTTTTGTTCTCCGACTCGAGATGGAGGTTAACGTTCCCCGACTCGTCCGCCGATCTCTTCCCCTGCTCGGCCGCCGATTTTTCTTGCTCCTTTGCCCCGCGAGCCACGTCCTTCTTGTCCTGGCTCGAGGAAGGGTTCTCGCTCATCAACGAGGCGGAGGAGGGGGAGGAAGAGGCGGAAGAGGAAACAGAGGCGGCGGCGGCGGCGGCGGAGGGGGCTGCCGCCGCAACACCGCCAGCCACCGCCAACTCGTTCGTCACAGATTCCGAGCTATGCAAAGAATTCCCCTCCCCGAGATTCTCTTTTCCTTCCTTCGTCAACTTGCCCTCCATCCCCATCGATTTTCCCTGCGACAGGCCCGATTGTTGGTAATTTCCACCCACCACCTTCCCCGCGTTCTTCCCCTCCTCTTTTCGCGCCTCCCTTGCGCCTCCCTTCGATTCCGCGCCCTTCTCCCCCGCGTCGCTCGTCAGTTTGCTCTCCATACGGAACGCGTCCACTCCTCGCAAATCGTTGGACTCCGTCTTCTCGAACGTGCTCGCCCGAACGTCCTTCCCCACCCTCGATATCTCAAGCAGATTTTTCTCACTTCCCTTCCCCACGCCGTTCTTATCCTCGTTACGCGCCTCGTTCGCGTAACACTTGTCGTCCGACGGCGTCCCCTTGCTACGCCTCTTGCGGTCGTGGATCTCTTTCAGGCTCTCTTTCTCCTCAAGGTACGGGTCCCCAAACCCCGATCTGTGAAACAGTTTCGCGTTACCGTCGTCGTCGTTGTTGTTGTTGTTAACCTCGGTCCTCTTCGTCCTCCACACTTTCAGATGGGCGTTCTTCTCATCCGCATCCTCCGAATCCTGCTCCCGCTTCTTCAGATCGAACCTTTCCATTCCGTTCGAACTTTCCCACCAATCGGAGTTGGCTGAAAACTTGGAGATTTAGCGTGGCACGGGAAACGTTTTTTTTTTTTTTTTTAAACTCGTTCCTCCTTTTTTAAACGAGGAGAGTTTAAAAAAGAAGAAGAAGAAGAAGAAGAAGAAGGAGAAGAGAGAAACGTTTTTTTCTTTCTCTCTCTCTCTCTCTCTCTCTCTCTTTTTTTCCCCCTCACCGTCATCGTCATTCTCGATTTTTCGATGCTTGTTCTTTGCGCGAGTCGTCCGATCTTTGTGCTCTTGCAACTTGTCGTTCTCGGTCTCGTCCACTTCCCCGGTATCCTCATTTTTTAAATTGTCGTGTTGCTTTTTGTCCGCCTCCTTGAGATTTTTCTTCAATTCTAATATGGTCTCCTTCAAAGATTCGAGCGACGGCGCCTCTTTCTTCCGCGTTTCATCTCGTTGATTTCTCACGTTAAACTTCATATCCCCTTTCGCGCTCGATTTGTCGGAGCCCAAAGAATCTGTTTAATATGATTTTCACTTGCACGTAAGCACGCGACCGGAAATCGCGATACGATAAATACGATAAATCTAAGAAGAAGGAAAAAAAGGAAAAAAAGAAAGAAAGGTTACGGGATTATTATTAAATCGTACTAAATCTATTTTTTTGATTAGTTTCGCATTCGTGGATCATTTGATTCCCCGATTTGTCCCGTTTCCCTCCGAGATTCTTGTTAAAGTTCAACCAATCGTTGAGAGAACAAAGATCCTTCGATTTCGTCCAATCTTTCGGAACTTGTTCGCCCGCCGTGTCTTTGTCGTAGTCGGAAGAGGGATGAATATCTTTCTTGTTCAATCTATGAGAAAGAGATATGTATGAACGGTTTCGAGAAAAACAATCGGATCGGGAAATTTTTCATTCAGTTCGATTCGCGGGGCGACGACGAAAGGAGCGACGAAAAGAAAAAAAGAAAAAAAGAGAAAGAAAGGTTCAAGTTACCCGTTTTGTAATGTATCGAAATCATCGAAGTCGACGTTCCTCTTGAACACCACGTCGTTGCCGAAATACATATTTCGGGAAGGTTCGACGCTCTTATACGCGTTCTTATCCTTTCCCTTCCACGTACTTTCGTAATTCTGGTCGGAATTTCTCTTCTCGCGATACTTATTACCGTGACGACTTCTTCGAAATCGGACGGAAATTTTCAATTCCGCATATAAATAATCCGCACATAACGTTACAACGAACGATTATATTTTTTCTTTTCTTTTCTTTTTTTTTTTTCTTTTTATTTATTTATTTATTTATTTATTTATTTATTTTTTTTGTTTTTTTTTTACCAATTAACTCACTTCTCCAAATTCTTCTCGCGATTAACGTTACGCACGGTTTGATCTATCCACTTTAAATCGTCCTGCGCCTTGAGAACGTCGTCCAGGAACTTGGCCAGCGCCGGACTGTTCTCCTCCGCGTCCTTGGAGGACGTTTTGCGATCCTTCTCACCCTGTTCATCGAAAGCATCGCCCGTTATATTAATTAATAAAAAACGAGGAGATCCTTTCTCTCGTAAAGTTGCTGCACGCTTTTCTCGACAATTCTCCTCTCCTCTGCGATAACAGCGCGAGTGCGAGTTACGCATCGTCCTCCTCCTCCTCCTCCAGCCCGGGCCTCTCCCTCTCTCCCCTCTTCCCCCTCTTCCTTTTTCCACCGCGTACGAGACGCGACCAAGACAATGGGATTCTCTACGTGGAGAATCGCGCGGGGCCGCGGATACGGGCACGGTGTTATTAAAAATTCACTCCCTCTAGCGGGTGAAGTGGCCTCTGGCAATCTGCATCTCATTCCCGGCGGGTCCTTGTGCCAGCCAGCCAGCCAACCACCCAGCCAGCCATCAGGTGGCTGCCAGCACGCGGAAAAAGGGGTGGAAAGCTCGGCCGTGGAAACGGCAGGAGAGGGAGGGAGGGAAGGGTTTGCCACCCTTGCGCCTAGAGGAGCAAGCCTCGGCCCTTTTCCTATTCCATATTCGTGTATACGCCTCCGAACGAAAAAAGAGAAAAAGGAGGGAGAGAGAGAGGGAGAGAGAGAGAGAGAGAAAAGAAGAAAAAAGTCTTACACCCAATTACGCGCGGCATTTAACTAAATAAACACTCGCCATCTTCGTTCCAGTAAACCCCGCAGGGGGTTACTACCTCCTCGCATCTGCGGTTGCTGTCCTCAACCTCCTCCTCCTCCCTTTTCCCTCCCTTTTTCCGTCTCTCCTCGCCTATGACCGACGCTCGTCTCTCGTCCTCTCCTCTCCCCTTTTCCTCCTTATCCCTGTCCCTGTTTTCCCTGGACCTTAATTAAGCCCCGTTTTAATATACTTTTGCTATCTCGCCTCTCTCTCTCTCTCTCTCACTATCTTTTTTTTTTCCTCGTCTTCTGGCCACGATTGTTCGCCACGAAACACGTAACACAGATTTTTCGAGGTTGCAATTCCTCCCTTGTTCCTGGCAATCTCTCTCCCCCTCCTCCTCCCCCAACGTTATCCCCGTTGCTCTCGTTCTCCTCTCGAGACCTTTAAACGGAACAAGATATTTCCCCGTCATCGTCGTCACTTGTTGAACGTTTATGCAAATTCCCATCCCAGGATTACCGGGATCGTTATCGTTCCCCAATCGTTCGTCAACGTTCGTTTCACCGAAACGAATTCGGCTGTTCGTCCACCGGAAGAGAGCCGGAGATCCACAGAACAGAAGAGAGATTCCGCCGATTATCTCTTTCCTCGAAAGAGAAAGATCCTCGATCGATGGAGAGAGAGAGAGAGAGAGAGAGAGACGAGAGGTTTAACGAGGTATATCATCGGTCCCTCTCCTCCCACCCTCTCCCCATCAATCGCGTTTTTGGTAGGAGCCAAAAGTACGGCGAGCATAATCAATCACGAGACGTTTTCGGGATACGCGCAGGCTGGAAGGGAAGTGTAGACAGTTCGCATAGTTCCGAAACGGAAACGGTAATATCGGTGGCCCGGGGCGACCACCCCTTTGTCATTTTGTCATCCGGCGTAAGGACGAATCGGCCAGGAGGGAGAGGCAGAGGAAGAGGGGGGGGGGAGAGAGAGAGAGAGAGAGAGAGAGGAAAGATGCGAAGAGAGACGGCCGAGTATGTTTTCCGCAAAAAGAAATTAATGCTTGAGATATTAAAACGCGTCCGAGAGGAAACGTCTGTCGTAGTTTGCCGCATCAACCGCCGGCCTCTTGCTCCGTCTTCTCTCTCGGGAGAGAAGCTTATTCCTCCGTTTATCCCGCTTTATTCGCGCTTCTTTAAGAATCTATCGTTCTCCATCGCGATAAGAATTTATCAGGTTTATCAGGTTCGAGATATTTGTTGATCGACGAGTTAGTCAATCAGTCTGTTTTATTGGTCGATCGATAGAAAATTTTTTGGTTTTATTGTATGGAAGTTTATGCGCGTAGAGGGAATGAAATCAGGAACGGAACAACAAATATTTTGCTGCAAATATTTTTCCCCGATATTTAATTTAATGATAATTTAAAAATTTCGCTCCGTTCCACGAAGTTTCATGAAGTTGAAAAAAAAAGAAATACTGAAACGGGATTGATTTTGGAATAATAATCCACTTACCCCGGAATCGTCGCTCTCGTCGTCGAGCAAGGAAATTTTCGAATCCTTGGAGTTCTTCGAGAATTCCATCTTGTCCTCCGATTTGCTCGTGTACGCACTCCCGTGCCCATTCTTCTGATCGTGGCTCGAGGCCAGGATCGGTAACGCGATGATAAAGATGAAGCAAATCAGTATCGACGTTCGATGACGACCATCCAGCGGATACGCCACGGACACGACCGTCTTCATAGCTCTATCTGAAAGCGAACGAACATTCGCAAACATTCGCCGCCGTGATTCTCAATTTTCTCCAACCGCGTGGAAATCGAACCCTTCCTTCCCCCCTCTCCCTCCAATTTCCCTTAACGAACTCGTGCACGCGTACGTAGAGTGCATAAACTGCTCTATTAAGGAACCCCCTTCCTCCCCCCGATCCCGGGAAACTCGTTAATTTCACGGTGCGCATAATAACTTTCCTGTCACAATTTGCATCCGCACGCCTCCCCTCCCTCGCCTCGCCAACGGGGGAAATTAAAAACGTCCGATCGTAAAGCCTCGAGAAGGAGGGGGGGGGGGTAAAATATCACCGGTTCCCCGGCTTGAATCGTAATCAACACCGAAGTTTCGAGTTTCGAGTTTTTTCGAGAAGAAGGAAAAAGCCTCGATATATACGTGTGGGATGCTGGGGAGGGGGTGGAAAACCATCTTCGATGATGGGTCGCGAATGGAAGTCGAAGAACGAGATTCGATAAGGATGGATAAGGAGGAAATGGTTTTTGGGCATCGCGGGGGTGGTCTCGGTCTTTGGATCTTGGAATTAATATCGAACACGGTCGCGGTTAATTTTACAAGGGTAATTTCGGGTAGTCAGAGTGGCGTTGGAGAGTTGGCTGGTTACTATATTAAGGCTCTGTATATAGAGGAGGCGGGTACGGGGGGTACGTGCGAGGAAAGGCCGCGAAACGTGAGACAAGACAAAGGAAAATAGGGCAAGTAATTTGAAACGGGCGAGGCTAGAGAAACGGCAAGAGAAGGGCGTACGGTTATTCGGACCAGAAGGTTTTGAATGGGAATAATTCCGGCGATGATTCCTTCCTCCCCCCTCCATTTCGCATCACTGAGTTTCACCGCGAGCCCTGTCGTTTTCAATGCCGAATCTCTCTCTCTCTCTCTCTATCATTTTCTGACCTTTCTTTCTATTTTCAACGTGGCATTAACAATATATCTCACTCGTGTCAATTATTTATTTATTCATGTATACTCGAAAGGAAGATGGAAGATAACGATTAAATTGGTTGGCGATCGTGACTCCCTTGGGGATAATTACACGGAAAGTAAAATCCTTCTCTTCTTTATACGCGCGAAAACAGGGAGAAGGGGTGAATTTCCTCTCCGTTCGGGTGGAAACCGC